ACTCAACCTCGCCAAGGCTCGGGCCTTCGCCAAGACCCGGGCCCAGACTCAGCGTAGGGTTACCGGCGTATTACCGACAAGAAGCCTCGTCGACCCCGGAACCCGTCAGGGAGAGAGTCAGGTGATTTTACTATGCATGTGATTAGAATATATCTGGTTCAATTGTACGTATGGTATTGGTGTTATTACCTGCAGAAGCAATCAATGAGGATACATTAGGCCTATTTATTGTATTATTTTACAGCGAAATTTCTTTTTTTGCCTTATTTAAAAACATAATTTTTAGTGATTTTAATGAGCATTTAGTATTATCTTAAAGTACTTTATATTTCATATAAAAATAAAATCGTGTTAAAATATATTATAAAATATGCAAATGATGAAAATGAAACAATTGGAAATGTCTAGAGGCGTATCTATCTAAACTTCAAACCAAAATGAAAAGCGAGACTTTTAATAATAAAAAATAGAAATCACTTTTTTAAAAAGCAGCTGTAGGTGCCACCAGAACGCAAAACTTTTATGTGTTTTTTGCAGAAAATTGGCCAAATTTTCACTTTTAATTTCAGAATCGACAGATTACTGTAGGCCCCTATGTTTTCTTCATAGTTACCAACCTTAAAGATTTGAAATGCGTGAGTACACCAGTTTGTTGGGAGGGGGCAAGGCCCGGGGTCCAGAGGCGGAGCCCTGGGATCTGAGCATTTTAAGCTGTTTTAAATCGATTTCAAGGAGCGTTTGTTGACAATACCGGGTACAAAAATATTTTTAATAAAGCCACATACAATTTGAGTTTCAATGTAGGGCCTACATTATGTTTAATTTGAGCACCCGAACTATGTACACAAACATTTCATTACATAAACCATAGAGAAAATAGAACAGCATTTTCTCTATGCTTAAACAAACAACAAATGAATAGGCATACTGATTAATGTTTAGTAGCGCGTCAGTGAATTAAGTATTGACGTAAATACTGTCTAATGACTCAAGTTTAAACTGCACGACCGTTTTTATATTTTTAATAAAACTAATTTATTCTAATTTTAAATAGAATTTCTGGCCATCCAGAGGTTACTATTCTTTAAAAAATTTCATTTGGGAGGGGGGACACCCTCTCAAACTATTTCCCCAGTCTCAAGACTACGAGCTCAAGTCCCCCTGTCGGACAGCCCCCCCCCCCCAAAAAAATATCCTAGAGCCGCCACTGCCTACAGCGCAATACCATTGCTCAGTACGATGGGGGGACAACTCATTGCCCTACCTTACTCTTCTTTCTGTATTGTGGGTGATTATAGTCTTCTAAAGGTCTATTTCGACATACCATTAACCACTGTAAACTTCTGTCCCCAAGTAGCAGCGGGTCAGGTAGGGCAAAAGATCACTCCTATATTCTCTCGACGCAAACTTAATAGCACTTGCAGTACCCGCTGCTACTTGGGGATCGGATTCATCATTAGCCAAGCGCAAGCTTGAAGATCTGGAGGTCATGGATTCGATTCCCACCCGAATCACTTGCAAAATTTTTTCGCTAGTAATTGGAGACTATCACTAGCCACCAAACGCAAGCTCGGTGGTCTAGTGGTTAAGACATCAGGCTAGTTACTTGGAGATCGTGGGTTCGATTCCCACCTGATCACTTACACATTTTTTTCACCAGTATTTGGGGACGTACTGAGTATTCCGTATGATAACATGTCAAGTAGGGCAAAACATCACTCACATCTTAATAGCACTTGCAGTAGCCGCTGCTAGTTGGGGATCGTATTCATTGCTGTATTTGGGGATGTACGGAGTATTCAGTACGATAACACGTCAGGTAGGGCAAAACATAACTGCTGACGCAAACTGACATCTTAAGAGCACCTGCAGTACCCACTGCTAGTTGGGGGTCGTATTCATTGCTAGTATTTGGGGATGTACCGAGCATTCGGTATGATAACACGTCAGGGCTAAACATCACTCCTGTAAATTACTGTTGTAAGAAAATAATCACAAATCATATTTTGGTATTTCTATAACATTTAATTCTAATTTTTTTGTTAATACCACAGTTCTAGTTTTGAATGACAAATGTTGTGCATACCAATGGCTTAATTTTTTTTTTTTTTTTTTTTGGAAAGTTCAGAACAATACCGTAAATTTTGCGTATTGGTCTATAGCTGTATTTGCTAATTTTTTGATCGAAAATTTTGTGTTCATAATATGTATGTAAGTATATTTCAGAAAGGATCGCCTTTCGTTTTTGGGAAAAATGTTGACCCCAACCCGCTAGGTTTGATTCCAGATCTGCATGATTCATATTCCCATTCATCTTATAAGTGCCCCCCCCCCGCACTTTGAAAAACGTTCCACCGGCCCTGAACATAACCGAAGGACATAATGACATTGATCTCAATTTCGTACGTGTGCACCAACATTTAGTGATGTACCTGCAAGAGTGTACATGAGGTGTATATACTGTCTCTTATACACATCTAGATGTGTATAAGAGACAGGATTTGTACTGAGCCTACTATTAGGTAAAAATATAACAAAAATGGTAAATGAATCAACACCTAGTCCATAGATAAGATTGATTAAGCTCTGTCCACACTATCACATTTTCTTTGACAAAAAAACTCTCGTATGCCCATATATAGTCATGATGTGTCTATATATGGTCATGATGTGATGTCATCATGACCATATTTAGGCATGTCACATGTTTTGTCAAATAACAGTTGATAGTCTGGACAGAGCTTTAGTTATGTCCTTAAGAGAAGAACGCTCTGAGAACTTAGTAAAATAGTAAAAACATAACAATTTACAAAATACTGGTAATTATTAAAACATAGATGTAGAAACGAAATAATTGAACGCAGGTGTCCCATGAACGTGTACCACTGCATGTTTAGCTACCCAAATATATTGTTTTCTAGGTTCACCATCCACTTCAAAATTATGTTTGTTATAGGTACAATGGGCCTTGACAGTTTTTTTGCAAAAAAAAAAAAATAAAAAATAAAAGTCCTTGATTTTTAACTTGTTTCCAGAAGACTCGTTAATTAGCCCCACTTTGTACTATTCGTTCAACTTTGGCCAAAAATGTTGTTATTGTTATTATTATTGTTATTATTATTACTGTTATTATTATTATTATTATTATTATTATTATTATTATTATTATTATTGTGTTATTAAGACTGATAGAAGAAGTCGAGATAGCTATACGTTCGTTGTACCGTACCTGTTACTACTGCTCACCGTAAAATCATAATTCAATCTTTTATACAAAAAAGATACATATTACATCGATATGCGATCCATTAGCGTACACAAAGAGACTAAAAAAAGAGTCACATATTCAACGTATTGCACCAATTTTCTCAATTGTGGAGGATGAAAATTTAATTTACGTTACCAGGAGGGTCCATTTGCACCCGGTGTGCCGGGTTCTATCATTACTTTCCTGCGACAGAAACTATAAACCAGACGATTAAAGTTGTCTCGTTCTCTGACGAATCTTTCTCTAATTAGAGGCTGCCAAAATTTTTTAAAAAAGAATCTATACCCTTTGCAATAATAGGGTAAAAAAATCGTCCCAAAACCGTGAGCTATAATACCCGTTACGTTTTTTTTTGCGAAAATCGCATGTGTACGGTAACAGTAATTAATACTCAGACAGCAACATTTTGACTTTGGAAACACTCAAATATATTGCAACGAATATTTCGACTACTCCTGGGTACGGTAGTCTTTGTCAACGCTTGAATAATATGAAAATTCTGAGATTGTTAAGAGATGATATTTAATTTGAAAAACAAGTCTAAAGCAAGCCGGCACACAATAAAGCTGAATGGTACAGGAACAAATGGGAATTATGCTGGTATTTTAAGCAATTAACATCGCACGTACCAAAAGCAAAGGTTCCATCTTACATTCTGCCATGTTTAATTCCAATCAGATTTACCAAACTTTAGTTATCGTGGTAAATAGTCTAAATTACCTGATTAGTGAAATATTAATTATGCAAATGAACAATTAGCATATTCACCATACATACTAAAAACAATAGGCCCCGTCTGCTTATTATCATCTTGTATTCAGCCAAGTTTGAAATCAATCGCACTTTAGTTATCGTGGTAACAAACAAATAACTAACAACGAAAACGACGACAGCGACAACGACAACACAACAACGACATGAAGAACACAGGTAAACTTGAAAACAATAACTTCCCTGGAGCTTCGCTCCTTTGGGGAGGCTAATTAACTGGCCATCTAATTAATTTTACATATCTAAAGCAATATTTACAGCATTCCTTTTGAAAATTGAATCATGTTTCTCATCTATAACAAGATTGTTCTATAATGATGGATCTTATATTAAACCCCAGCAAAACTGATCTCGTAATTTCTTAATTTATTGTGTAGCGAAATTGCGTTTTTGTCTTATTTTGAACAATTTATAGTTAATTACAGTGTTAAAACACTGAATTTTGTCATTAAGTCCATTATACTTCATCCAAAGATATAGGCTACTAAAATCATCATGTTTAAAAATAAATATAATAAATTTGGAAATTATGAATATGCAACAATGGTAAATTTGTAGAGGGCGCTCCTATCTAAACTTATCAAACATTTCGATTCCAGTGGTTTTTTTTTCTTCTTTTTTTTTCCTGTTTTTTTTTTTTTTGCCAAAGTATTATTTTTTAAATAATAAACGACCAAGCTAAAAAATAGGAAAGTTTTGGTTACAACACAATAGCTTACGGTTTTGTTTTTTTTTTTTTCGAAATCGGGAGATTTTTAGACACTCCTATTTTCCAGTTCTTTTATGTCCTGTGACACATACGGTATTGAGCGTACAGTAATCTGCTGTGATCCGCTTTTAGTCCAAGAGAACAGATCAAAAAATCGTACATACAAATCATGAGCTATTTACGTTTTGAAAAACATTGGCCAGTTTTCATCTAATCGTTTTTCTGCTGATTCATACATTAGGGTACAGTACATAGGAAGCGATCATCAATTTCTTTGCATTTTAACCTTTTAATTTTCCCAGATTCGGACATAGCCCCATGGGCCGAATTGTGTATCTGATTTAACGGTATTTAAGATTTAAACTAGATTTTATAGTGGAATATGCAAAATATGGATAAGCCTACTATTTTTGTAATCCGATTCTTACATTCCGGTACCAATACAAATATTGTTTGAATTTACCTTGTTCGACATAATTTTCTTAGCATTTAAATATTGTGAATTATGACACTTCAGCTTTTACTTAATAACCACCAACCAAAAAGCGTCTCCGTGGCGCAATGGATAGCGGGTTGGACTGCTACGAAACAATGATATTCAAAAGTTGCGGGTTCGAATCCCGCCGCAGATGCCTCACTTCCCTTTCTGTGCGAAATACAACTGCTATTAATAACAACAATAATAATAATTTTGGTACATAATTACGTAGAATCGTAGTTTAGTCGTACTTCAACCATTTTTACATCTCCCTGCTTCAACGAAGACAACCAGGAAATATAATTGTGCTTTGATTTTTGTTCGTTCGGTTTCCATGGCAGCAGCACACGTTCGAATGATAGTGGTTTACTCCACTGTGTTCTGCCTCCTGGCTTTGTCTTGAATTTTGAAGTTTTCTGTTTCGATTCGTTAGTAAGAATGATGTTACTGTATGTAATATAATGAATATTTAATTGATTATTATTATTTTATAATTATTATTATTGTTATTATTATTATTATTATTAATAATATTATTATATTATTATTATATTTAATAATAATAATTATTATAATGATGATAATAATGCCCAAAATTCACTGTAGGCCTACTTTCACTACACACGTTACGTTTAGAACACAGAATCCAAGCAACATATAGTATTTTCCACTACTGACACTTTCAAATGTGTGACAAGCCACCTAATTTTCCAACCACCACCTACTTTAAACAAAAATTAAACTAACCCGGCCACCCGGAAACGCTTTCAGTTGCATGCTTCCCAATTCCTTACTTCTTCCGGTTAGACAACTGGAACGTTGTACTCTTATAGTTGAAAAAAAATGTATGCCAAGTATTGGTGTTGAAATTGAAATATTATGCAAATAGTTAAATTAATTTTTAAAAAAAATATGAGGTATTTGTGTTTAGCGTCACACGTTTATATATAAAGATGCAAAATATTCCAAACATTTTTCAAAAAAGTGAAGTTAGTACAATAAAAATGTGTACTTTCACTAATTTGAATATTCATCATATAATAAAAAGAATATTAACAATAATAATATTTGCATTATTACTATTAACCTTATTATCTCCATCATATTATTGTTATTATTACTTTCATTCATAACATTCGTAAATACGCAAACCTTTGTTTGAATCGGCATATATGTTATTATGTTTATCATTCTTAGCATTGCTATTTTTATCCATAAAGCATTATTATTCTAGATAATGGCATATAGGTAATATTACATAGACTTAATTAATAAGGAATGCTAGTCATAAATAATGCAGACAGAACGATGTCCATTATCAAAACACAGTTTTTAATAAACACTTGAAAAGCAATTGGTTTGTTATATTTAATTCCAAATACTGATTTGTACTATACCAAATCATTACTAAAGTTTATCAACACCACATGTGTATAACTGTATGATATGGCCTGACCCACATCTAAATGTTGATACTGCATTACGTCGTGTAAATGACTCGGTTATGACACTAATCCTGAAACACGCGGTCAATTATTTTTATATTCAAAATATTTATTTATTTCACCTTTTTGTTCTGACACTTTCATGCTTTGAAGGCTTCAATGTGAACATAATTGAGCACAACCACAAAACATAAAATGACAAAAAGAACAGAATTGATTCTGTCTCTTATACACATCTAGATGTGTAACAATGTATAAAATGTGTGTTTATTAAATATTTACGGATGGATACAATAATAGATAAATTCGTACCTAACATAATCAAATCACTTGAGGAATAACCACTTTGTTTAAGCTTTCGTGTATTAAACGTAATCCCTTCCATCTATTCAGAAAATAGTTATTGCATATTAAGTACAATGTTATGATACCCTGGATTTAGATTAAACCAATGGAAAGCTCGCTCATCCAATAAGATAAGAAACGTCACATATGACGTCATCGCTGTTTAAAAGCATACGGTATCGGGTTGTAGAAGTTAATGATTGCGAATACCAACAAACGAATGATAATTAGGCCTACTTATGCACTAATTATAGAGCGAATATAAGTCTAATGAAATAATAAAGCAATACAAAAAAGCAATGATAATAAAAGTAATAATAATAATATAAATAATAATAATAATAATAATATTAATAATGAATATGATTATGAGTATAATACTGATAATAATAATCATGTTAATATTGATTATGATTATGTGCCGATGTGAATGCTGCTGCATTCACATCGGATCCGAACTGAAATCCTAATAGGCCTAGTAATAAATACCAACATGCAATAAAACTGATGTAATTGTAATGATGCTCAAACAATAATTGTTATTAATACCATTATGCCTAGCTACGATTATTTTTTTTCCCTTTTAAATGCAAATTTATTTTAAAGAATGTTCAATGTATGTCCTGCTTATTTTCCCCGATTTCTCCATGTATTCTGGCTGGGAAGGTTATTTTTATGTATAAGACAAATTAAATTGAACTTTAAACTTGCAAACCCAGATCTTGAAAACGCCTGTCTCGTTTACGTTAGTTCGCTTCGTCGTGCTGCATTCACATCGAATCGGACCGCGTTTCTGATGTGCTGAACGCAAGCTGGGCACTAACTGCGTCGTACGGCGATCGTACAACGAATCTAACTCCGCTCTCTGTGAGCGCTAAACCGCACGACCGTCTACTGATTGTCGGTGGCAGTCTGATCTGATCGTCATTAAAAACGATCCGTTGCGCGCGCGTCGTCGCGTTGCGTTCTCTATAGAATCGCGTCGGCCGACAACCGTCGAGCGCAGTGAGTGTCCGCCTTTACCTTGGCTTTACACACTGGTTCATGAGTTTTCTGATCTGTTCGGTATAGCCTTCCGATACGAAACTTCGGATTCGGTGTTAAAGCACCTTTATACATTATGTTTACTTATTAGTCTTCACGTCCATTTTTCGACGTACCTCTTCACCTAATCTGTAATATTGCGCTGTTTGACATGTCGAAACATGTGGATTTGCTACAGCATTATTAACCAACAGCTGCCCCACACATCAGACAGGGCTATCAGTCAGAGCTTTATAAATATTACCAACAGTCATTGTAAAATAGATAGTACCGGTATCAACAGTTAAATATACATGTTTATTTTTTTATAGAGGACGGGTTATTCTTATTAATCATTAATATAAGTTTATATTATTATTATCATCATCACCATCCTCATCATCATCAACATTATACTTATCATTATACTACTGGCCAACCAGGCGGATCTGGGAGCGAAGCCCCAAAAAAATTACTTTCAGGTGTCTAATTTAAGCGATTTTTTTGTTGTCAAAAACAAATGAAATTATATCTTATCAGCCTTTTAGTATATTCTATCCTAACTCCACTGAGTTCTATAAAACCTGTCCACGGGAAATTTGAACCGGCTGTCCAACCTCTCGGGGATATATAGTTCTTACAATATTTGCATGAACTCCGGTTTCGTAATCAATTAGGCCTACAATATGTGGGAAAAATTAAGTTAAAATGATGTTGAGGATAGCAAGTCTGCAGATCAGTGAAAAGAGAATTACCTCAATCTGTGTCTCAGTTAAATTTGATAACTTATTAAATACTTCTAAATGTGTTACCCTAAATAACTATTTTTATACCTCTCTGGTTATTCCACACCACTGACGGTATGCTTATCAGTAAAACTCAGTATTGTTTCAGTTTGCCAATGTTAAACCTCGTAATCAGATCCCCTTATTGGTGGACGTACAACTACATGTAGTACTCGAACACTCCACACATTCTTATGTTTTGTTTTCATCTCCATCTATCCATAGGGAGACAGCACTTGGGGGAGACAAGACGAAAGCCCCTGTGGGCTCGCACGTGTCTAATGACGTCACAGTGGATATTACTTTCAACAGCCACCGCATGGGCCGTCAAAGTTCATGAATACAACCGTGATCGAAGTTACACGTTTTCAAGTACATCTGTATACTCTTCGTAATGAATTTGCATGCTATAAACCAAGGATAATATACTCCAATTAAGTTGTCGAAATAAATCATAGTAAACGCCTGTCGAACGCTGTCAGCAGTTGTTGACGCGTTTCACTGTTCGATTACTTTGGTACTTTTAAGAAGCGACACTAATAAGTTGTATATTTTATTTTTACACACCTGAATTCTTGTAGTTCGATAGTAAGATGTGGCAGTCATACGCTGAGGAATACGGAACAAGCATGCACGAGTTATCGGGGCAACCGGCGTCTAGAGGGCGACTGATGTATCTGAAACAGCAGGCTACTTATGAACTTCCTCAAAATGAACTTTTACATGCCCCTATATCCACAAAGTTACAATATAGTGAACCAAAAACAGTAAAGCATACGAGCCAGATGGTGGACGTATATGTCAACCCGCAGCATTTGGTCGAGGAAGACCGCCCAAAACGGCGCACCCTTTCCCCATCCAGACCTAAAGTTCAAAGTAAAGAGCTACTTACAGGTAAACGCGGTAGTCGAGCAGCGGAAATGTTCGTACGTGCGCGAGAACATACTGACCAACACGTTATTGACGAGGAAAAAGTTACAAAAAGGAGACAAGCTAGAAATTGTCCACCATGGGGAGCAACGTTCGGATATCCAACAATTAATGTTGACGAACCCTACGATGAACCGGTTTCAAAAAAATTCCAAAATGTTACTAGTCCCAGTCTGCCGCGAAAACCTAAGCCTAAAACGAAACCAATAGAACAAGTTGATTACAGTTATAGCAATGGATATCGGCCTCGCAGTAGTGACCTATGGAAAAGTAGGCCTACTGATTCAGAACGCTTGAAAAGATTTCACAAAGACGTAGAGCCTTATAAAATGAACTACAACCGCGCACCAACGGGCTGGGCAAATAGTTCTGAAAGTTCGGATTTAGACGCATTTGACCTTGGAAGTATAGATGCCCAGCTACCTAAGGAGGAATTTAGACCGAGGATGTTCACTACAAAAACACGACAAGGCAGACTGCGCGATTATAATTCAAGACCCAGATCATGGTCCCAGGATTATGATGACGATGTGACAGAGCCGCGGGATGAGGTAATGGCTTCCGCGGAAACAGTACGAAGCAGGCGAGTCCAGTTCGAAGAACACAGTAAGTCACCGAGACAAAGTCGAAAAAGTAAATTTGCGCCAAAGTTCCGTCAGGTAGCAGGTCCAAAAAATTGGTTCGGCCTTCCACAGAGTGAAGATTTATGAAGTGTTTATAATTGACAGAATTTGCATGGAAGTTGATATTTGATTTATTCTCTTTAGGTATAAACACTAGTTGTAATAGCAATAGCAATAGTTGTAGCAATAGTTGCTACCATTAGTAACGGTATAGAATTAGTTAATTTTTTAATTTTTTTTCATCTGGATATATGAAATTTAATGTTTGAGAGCGTGGTACTTCTGAAGTCGATTTCTGTATTTTTAAAATTTACAAAACTCTAACAAAGACTTGTCGTTGACAATATAAATATGTATTTTGCAACATCGTATTTTTTATGTACAGAATCACAGTGTTAAGACTCTTTTTTGTTATAATTAAATATAGATGCTAAAATAAGCATTAATGTATTATGGTCTGGACGTAATGAAAAAAGGTGTACAGATGAACAAAACCTATTGTGAGCAATATAGCCTATTACTTCCAAAATTGCCAATTATAATCCACACATATCTGTTATGATATATGTTTATATCGAAACGTATTAAACACCGAACAAGAAATAAACATATAGAGGCTATGAACAACTGGATGATAATAAAAACGATTAAACTTTTAGAGAGCCACTGTGAGTTGGGAGCAACTAATAACCTATTATTACATAGTAATATAAAAGATATTAATATAGATTTCGTTTAATATGGATTTGGCAGATTATAAATATCAATTTTGGTAAAATAATATTAGAAAACAGACTTATATATTACCGGATGAGTAAGACAAAGTAGTTGTATACTTCAAAGAAAACGAATTATTTAGCCATTTTGGAACAAAACGGTGGATATCGACAGCTGTGGTTTCGGCCTAGATTTGAAATGACGTAGATTTATCTGCTCAATATTACGTAATAGTAAGATAAATTGATTTTGTCTTGTTTCAATACTATACGGAATTTATCCTTTTTGCTAGACCTATTAATAATAACAACGTCCAAACTCATTCAATTAAAATCATTGGCTACGCCTAACTTCTTTGGAACATCTGTTAGCCAATGATCTGGTACTTTATACTGACTGAAATTCTGTTATGGCAGTATATAAACCAGGAAATAATCATATTGACAAACCAAAAGTAATTAACACATTTTCAGCAAAGAAATAGAAAAGTGACCGATAACCATCAGGTGACGTCATAAAATCTGGGGAACTACCAAGATGTCTGTAATTATAAATTGCGATATGCCTAAATGTAAGAACAGTGCATCCTGATGGGACATAATATGGATTCTCTCTGTAATGAGATTTACAAACAGCGTATGAAATCGGAAAAATAAAATATATATCTAAATGATGTTTTATAACCAGTGTTTTTATTTATATTTTGAAACTATTCCTAGAATGTGAATTTTTTTGTGATGTTAGCGACTAGTAGTAACCAGGAAAACTTCCAAGATTTAAGGACATCGTAGTCTTTAGTGATCTTTAAACACTTCTCTACAGATATACTAAAATATTATAAAAATAAAATAACAAATACATAATAAATAGAGTATAAAAAACATAAACCTAAATATTGAAACGATAAAACAATTTACCCGCCAACAAACGGATGTTAAATACTGTAGTACTATTCCTATAATTTTTACATAAAGGTTAATTTGGGACTGCACGTTTTTGAAGGTTTATTTTTAGATTTGTATGGGGCAATATACAACAGTTAAAATGTTATTTAAAAGTACGGTGATCTATACGTTGACTTTAGGACTAGGAATCAGTAAAATGAGAAGACAGAAAGCAAGAAAATAGATTAAGCAAAAATGTAAACTGTAGACGTAAATACGAGGAAGACCGAAAACATCCCGAGTAATATTCAGAAAATAGGAAGGAATTTCTGCATGGTCTATAAAGATAGTGACAAATGGCGATATTTGGTAAAAACACGTGCTGTCAAAAGAGAAATCGCGTTCATATAATGATGATGGCAAGTGGTAAGAGATTAATTCTATTACCTAAAATGTGATCTCCACGAAATGAGTCTTGTTGCACAAATGACCAAAATGTTATATTGCCATCAGAACACAATATACATTCACGATTGAAACCACATCAAGAACTTGAGATTGACTGTCAACGGTTATTCTAAAATGAGCGAAAACCGAATTTCAGTCAAGTTCCAGAAAAGATTGGATAGATTGGTATTTAAATTCGGCATATTGTGCAACTAGATTCGCAATGTAATTGAGTGTCGAATATCACAGTCTGTATCTCTAATCATAATTTACGATAGCACTCGATGTCGGAACATGGATAACGAACTCTACGGATTGAAAAAGTAATAAATAATCTAATCTAATAATATCACCATTATCGATGATTTTGCATATGGTATTTACTTATTAGTTATTGACTTTCAATTTATACAGAAGACGAATGAAACTGACAGAAGGAGAAGACAAACGATGTACTGAGTTGCAAAAAGTGTCAATTTATTAGACTGAAGAAACGCAGTGCGTCAAAGGTATTGTGATTAACTGAAAAACCAGTGCTATACACGCCAAAATAACAACACTCCTTAATTGATTAAATAAATTAATTAATTACTGTTAGTTGACAAAGCAACAAATACTCTACATAATACTCTGAAAATGCATTATAAATCTTATGTACACTATGCTGTCGTCGTGTTATATATAATTATAAAGTTTTACAAACGCATTCACTTTTACCAAAAACCTCAAAACCTACATCTAAGTTTTTTTTTCAAAATGTCTTGACGAATGATCTCTAAATTTCATTCAGCACATTGTACTTTATAACTGTAAATCTGATAATACGACGAGCAGTATCATTACGGTATGGCTTCGACTTGGAGTAACAGATGCTGGATCATTATAGTTACAATTAAGCAATTATAAAGTTCAAAATCTCGGTCAATGAAAATATGAAGAATTTCCATGCGGGCTCTGGCATGTTCTACTGTCAAGCATGGTATAGTTTAGAAGGCATAAATCTTCAACCAATTTACTAGTGTGGTAATTAACTGTTTTGAATAAAATTAATTCTAATAGTGGTACTAATTAATACTTTCTACTTCCAGCCAAACCAAATTCAATTCTTTTTATGTGATAACAACTTTTGACCAAATAACAAAATAATTGTAAAAGTGGTATTAATACTTGCTATTTACAACAAAACCTAGGTCAATCCATTCTATGTGATTACAATCTACCTTTAAATCACTAAAATATTAACTAGGCCCTCCTATATCATTGTTACCCACAGCTCAAAGTATCACTATTATTAATAACTACATTAATTAACTAATAATATCTTGAAATAATTGTTACTCGTTTCTTAAAAACGTCATTTAATGAAACAAGCCGAAGGTAATTCTATCTCAGTTCTTGAAGACACCAATCTTCAAATTATCATCAACGCATCTCATAAACGAATATCACACATTCATACAATTTCTACAAGGTAATCATTTCTATCAGTAACCAAGCATATTTTCAAGATGGATACTCTTCCATAATTCCATTTAATAATTTCTTGTCTTTTACATTCAAACTCTGGTATAAATTTGGTTAAATGTATTTACAAATTACTCAACTATTTCCAAATGTAAATCTAACCAATGTAAAATATCGTAGTTTTACTAACGTTTTGATCAGAGTTGGCCCTAATTTAATGAAAACAAATTATTTGATTGGCTTTATAACCAATAACCATTGATAACGATAACCACCAAATGTCCTTTCCTATAACCTATACGTAATATTCGTTTTCATCCATTACAATATTTTACCCATGTTAATGAATTTTAAAGTGTCTAACCTTTATCCAAATAACTGAAACAAATCTATGTTTCAGTTAGTCAGGTGGCTCTGATATTTTTTCTACCAGCTGTATAAAGACATTACCAGAAAGTATAAAAATAATTAGCACGCAATTCACATCAAGTGGAAAACAAAATTAACTAAAAGGAGAAATGTCAGCCTGGCACATCGTTAATAACAAAATATAAAGCAATACGAACTTAAACAAAATATATCATCTACTTCCTACGAGAGGAAATATCTGTGTTTATATACAAGCACAAATTAAATTTAACTAATGTACAATAAAATGCAGGGGTATCAGCCATGCTGTCTACTTATCTATAAAAATATAAAACTAAAAAAGGAAGACTTTAAGGAACACTCCTCATCAAAATTCTCAAACTTTTTGCGCACTCGCAATTGAAATCAATCAACATCATTCCCTATATTAAATTAGGCCTACGTCTTGTTTTAGTCTCATAAAGTTTGTCTGGTCTGCATATTCCAGTTAATGACTGTTATTCAGACTTAATTCCAAATTATAAAACTTAAAATGGATACACATAAAACAAACCTTTGAAATTTATTTGCAAAACTATTTGCAATAACGAGATATTTATAAATAATAAATTACCTTTAAAGGTATTTGTATACATGAAAGTGGAAACCAGAGCTTAACAAACTATACATTTCAGCCTACAACCTTTCAAGGTAAACCTATCAAGTTTTTAGATATTTTTTTCAATAATTTTTATTGTTCAAAGATAAATTTTGTAATATATAACATAATGCAATGATAATATAAATCAATTTCATTTGTGTATTTTTTGGTTTATTGATTTTCTAAATTTCATTGATTGTTTTTACCCTAGTATTATTTTACTTACCCTTCTGCAAAGGCACTGCCTCTTTCTATACAAATGTACAATAAATATACTTTGGTTTTTATCAACAGCAATTTTATAAAATGTCTACAATTTAGGAATTTATTTAATTTATATTCTGATAAAATAAAAATCTAGATGTCATAGTATACTATTTTTACCATAAAGTTGGATCAATAAATTGTAGAAATAGTTTTCTTATCATTGTGAAGATTATGAATATTTAATAAGGAATAATAAATTTAAAAATATTCTAAATATGTTAAATTCGCTAGTCTAAATCAATAGAATTAAAGTTAATCAGTAAACTTGTTAATATATTTAATTAATTATTGCATGTATATATTGACAGTATTTGATAAGAGGTATCAATTAATGAAAAATAGACCCAAGTCTCATAATTATAAAGTCCAAAGACCTTTTTGAAGTGATTTTGATAAATACATTCTGTATTTCATTCCCAATTGCTGTGTACCTCCCGATAGAGGAGGTATATTTTGAAAGATAGAGGAATATATAAATATAAATACAGCATCTATGTTATAATAACAAAATATTAATAAACTATTTATTGCTTCAAAAAAATTCATGAAGTTTAAAAAATTGATGATTAGTCACTTGTCAGTTGAGGAACATGCACCGTTCTGACCGAGGCTATCCATAAAATAATCGCAAATAACAAACATCAAAGCGAAAGGATCATGAAGAAAGACGAGAATATATCTCGTCAGTTCATCAATCAGGATCTGAAATATAAAAGTAAAACATAATTTTATTGAAAATTCATATTAATTCATTATATAACATATTAAAATAATAAATAATATATTTTTATCAACTGAAAGTACAGTAACGTATTTAATTACACAAAGAAATTCAAATATGAGTGAGGGTTTCGTTTTAGCTCAACACAAAAATATACTTTTAATAGAAGCAAGATGTTGACATTTTTAAAGTTGTTTTTCCATCCAACAATTAAAACAACACTCATCAATTAGAGAATGGAATGGAATATGTTACATTATTAGGCTTTTAGGCAGTCGAATTATTCTAGTCATGAGAAAAATCCTGGTGTTTCAGAAGATACAAACACACAACATTGAGAATTAGAAATTGGTAGGCAAGCATCTTAACCACAGGGAAAGGTTCAGTATTTTTTTAAATAAGGTGGAACCAGTCATAAAAACTAAAGTTACTTTTGTGATTAATAATTATTATTACCAGAATTTACATTTATTTAAAAAAAAGCAAATATGCCAAAAATTGGCTTTACACAAACTTACAGAATTTTGCCACATAGTTTCCTGGGAAAGTACCAAACTGTCCTGTTTTTGCTGATGTACCGACATACCAACCATCTTCACATTTTTCCATCACTAAAATCACGTCCCCTTCTTCTAAGCGTAGCTCATCTTCATTTTGAGGTGTGTATGCAAATATCGCACGATATCTATCATGATCAGGAGATGTAATCATTTAAAAAATATAATTCGTATACAATTGTAAAGAACTTGCTACATTAACAGGATCAAACAATTGCACTATAAAACTAAGTCCCATAATATTTTTAAAAAAACTTAAGGCCTTTGGCTTCTGGTACATAAAAAACACTCACCAGAAAAAAAAATAATTCTCATTACAAAAATATATATTTTGCTTCACAAAATCACAAAAAGAACCATACACAGTTTAAAAAGCAAGGGCAGGTATAGCTAAGTCTAAGGTGTTAAAAACTAGCTGATAAGTGGAGGAAAGACAATTATAAAAGAACTACAGCAACTACAGAATAGGATCAGCCATTATAGCACTAAAATTGACCATATCAGTACACCACCATCATCATCATCATCATCATCATTATCATCATCATCAGTTTACAGTCTATTATTCCATGCAAGCACGGGTTAGACTGTACTTGTAATGGCAGCTTTCTAATCTGCACGATTCAAAATTAAACATTGTTTAAAAATTTTGTTTTCATATTTGACTTTTATAATATAAAAGAGCTGTGCTACCCAACTATGTCACATGTAAACAAATACTTAAATTTCAACAAGAATGAACTTAGAAAAGAATAAAAAATGCCAATAAGCAACAAACATCAAAAACACCATCAAGATGTAAAATAAAATTTAAAAATTGACATACGGATCAAATTTAGTGAAAACTAAATCAATCACATCCCAGCTTCAAGTATGTTTATACAGAAATAGAACATAAAAATGTTAAATAGTAAACTTTGTAACTATTATAAAAAAAAAATTAAATAAAATAAAATAATTAAAACACAAAATAAGATTGATAAAGGAAGCAAAAGTTAATGTTAATAATTTAATTGGTATCAACACAAAATGTGTTATGTATTATGAATTGATAAATAAATAAGCCATGTTTTATTTCAAATTGTCATGTCAACCAACATTATTACATCATTAAATTAAATATTTCTATATTTTTCCCCCCTCCCAGTTCGGGGAGAAAAACCACAATTCGTCAAGGTCAGGGAGAAAAAAAATTGTACTATGTATTTTCTACATTAGTAGACTCCAAAATTGATTAAAAAAGCCTTTGAAACCCCTAACATATTTTTCAAGCCAATGGAACACCTTCAAAAGATTTTGAGCGATGCCCCCCCCTCCCCCCGCCGTTGGGCAAATCCTGGCACCACCAATGACTGGACAGTGGATACTACTTGTTGAAACCAACTACATTTTATGCTGTTCTCCTTCCTGGTGTAAGTGATAATTCAGATTTTTATTACATAAATCCTATTCCCTGTTAATAAAAAGTGCTATTCAGTATACTTTGGAGCTAAAAAATTGATTTATTTATTCTATTTTATAGCTCCATGGTATATTTTATAAGGGATAAAATTTGTTTTCTTACGTTTCTTGTGGTTGCTTTGTAACTGTACTCGTTCCACGACCAGATCCTTGGTTTACTTTGTAGGTAGGGGAAGCTAGGGGAACAAATTTGGACTGTGGGGACCTTGTGTTCTGTAATGAGGAAAAATAAATATTAACTTACAAAAAAAAACAAAAACTCATCAGATTCCATTCTTATTAAATTGTGAATACACCTTGTCCAGAATATCAAATTTTATTTGATGAAAAATTTTTGCGATGCGATGTCATCGTGACCATATTTATGCATGCCACATGTTTTTGTTAAATAAAATTTGATATTCTGGGCGGGGCTAAGATGTTGTTGGCTGCCACATGATACAAAATAATTTGGACTAACGTTTTAAGACAAATTGTATGTTTCTAAACATTTTAATAAACAAAACATTCTAAGTACTATTACTAATTTAATTGGTAGCAGGGATGTAGTTATGGTGGGCGGGGCCACCTAGCCTTGATGTTTTCCACCCAGTCTAAAGCCACTTTCATTGCCCTCCACTCATCCTTATCGTCCATCCTTAAAATCCAATCTTATTATTTAGAGTTTACCAATGTTATCACTCACCCACCCTGAAAATATCTAGGGATACCACCCGCCCTTATTTTACTGCCGCTACAACCCTGGGTAGGAACGTATGCAACAAGAAAAAAGTGTGCGTGTGGGTTTGAGTGCAGTGGTAGTGTTCCGATTGAAACGCCAGAAATGTCCAATAAGTTATTCTTTTATCAGTGAACTATTTATTTTCATATGATTAGTCACTACACACAAGGGTGTTGATCTGTGCTTGAAAGTGGGGGGAGGGGAGATGAAAGGGAAAACAAGAAAGACTTGTGCCATATGCCTAAGCTTTGACAGGGGCGTGGGGTCCAGGTGAACGACAGGAAAGAAAAAAAATTAATTTAACCTGCAGGGGCTGGGCATATGACTGGTGTTGATGTTGTGGCTGTTGCTGCTGCATTCTGATTGGCTGTCCATGAGGGCTTGCCTGGCGATGAGGAGTAGATGTGGATGGGTAGGGACTTGTTCTTTCTGGTGATGGCGTTTGCCTAGCAACCGGTGATCTAGGCTGAACATTGCCTACATAAATAAAAATAATCATAAATAGTGATGAATTAATTCTCCCTCAGTTGATCAAACACTTTAAATAAAAAACTCCAAATTAACTTGAAACTCACATCAAAGATATTCTACAATTTTGTTAATTAAAACTATCAACTACTATTTCTACAATGACAAATGACATATACTTCTAAGGTACTGTTTTTTCAATCTTTCATTTATGTTATACCATTTTGTAAACAGCAGTTGGGAGATAAAATGCCAACAGGATAAAAAAATATAATGCAATAATTTTTTTTTTTAAATAGGCCTACTATAAAGCTAGTGATAGTAATAATTGTATTGACACTACAGTGAAAAAAAAATCAAGTAAAATATAAATCAAATTAATTAACTATTAGGATATTAACAATAACATTCATGTGGAAATAACAATAACAGAACCACTTGCAAGGTTTATTTTTGCAAGTATGTATTTTTACTAAGCATTCAGTATGATAACATGTCAGGTATGGTAGGGCAAATCATCATTTCTAATTCATTCCGAATATTCAGAAGTAGTAGGCATACATTTACAAACATCTCAAACTTATATATAATTTTGCCAAGTCAAACGGCCACCACCCCGAACTAGGTTCTGGTGATGGAACAATTTTCCTCAAATAAGGACTATCAACTGTAGGCCTAGCACACACAACTAGCTTTTCTGCACTAAAAGAACCCAGTGCATGTTTTGAGATGAGTAAGTGGTTACGACCCCAATGGACTGGTCTCCCAAAGATTAGCTGGTATTGTTTTAATAATAATACTGTAATAATAATAATAATGAAAACTTTTAAAGCGCCGGTATCCGTTTAAAGAAAACGCTCATGGCGTCCCTCCACAAGAAGTAAAAAATATGACAGACAAAAGAACAATGAAGTTGCACATAGCTCAAGTACGAAGTGTCTTAGGGAAGGAGGAACGAGCTAGTTCAGGCCTTGAGCATTTTGAGACTTGATACACACTAAAGTGCTATATAAATGTAATTATATTACATTACATTAGATTTGTTGGGCACTTTGCCCAAATATATAACTTAAATCATGAAAACATTTTGTTTCAATAAGAAGTAGAACAGCAAATAATTCATTCAAGACAACTGACATTAAATTAGGTCCAATGAACTATATAGGTTCCAAGGTCAATGACCTCTATAATTTACATAAATTCCCATGAAATTCACAGGTGCTAATTAACATTACCAAAAGTCAGACAGGGTAGAACAGATGACAACAATAATTTAGTCTTGGATGATAAATTAAATAAATGTTCCGAACAATATTTGAATCAATAAAAAATACAATTGGAACAGATGTAAAATGTATTGTAATAATAAATGAAATTTCATAATCTAAAGATTGTAAGACAATACTGCATTATAATATAATATAATATTATATTATTTCCTTAATTTACTATAAATTTAATTATGTATAAAATCAATTAAAGCTTTTACAAAAACCTATTTCTTGTGTTAGTGTTAATGAAACCAAACACAAAATCCTCTACAGATTTCAATTGGATCAAAGTTCTAAATATGGAAGTCAATAAAAAGACTCAGCTTTCACAAGGGAAATGGGAAAACAAAAGTAACATTAATGAGGCCAAAGATGAGGCCTATGATTGGTTGAATCCCACTAAGTCAAAAAACTACTTAACAGCAGGAGATTTATCACACTCTTTACTTGTATAAACTATTGCACAGTGGAAGACTTTCTGCAAATGCTGCACTTCAAGGCTGGCATGTGAACAATGATAGGAATGCAGGACTTGCAGGCCTACATCCCCATACATGTACAGAACGGGAACAACCTAATTCCACCAAGTGAGGGCGCAATTTTAAAATAAGCATTGCCACTATACTGTATCTGTACATCCACAGAATTTAAGAATCTGGTAGTTGAAGGACTAGCAGTACAGCATCAATTGTAATAAAAATAATTAAGATATAAATAAGACAATAGAGGGCTCACTTTAAATACGTGTGACTTACCTTGTGGCTCTTTAATTACATCGACGTATGCGGCAGGAAAAATGCCAATCTTCTTTCCTATCCTTCCTTCCCACCAATTATTGTCAACCTTTTTAGTTAGGTTGATATAGTCACCCTTGAAAATAATTGAAAAAATAGTTATATGTTAAATACCTGGACGTGAACATATTTGTAATTAAATCTAGCCAAAAAAAATGCCCTTAATAATAATATTAAAACATCAAAATATTTATCAAGATCAAATGTGACTCAAAAATTAAATTTTGATTGTAATGGTAATGGTTGGAGACTTATATAGCGCATTGTCAACAATAATGATATACCGTAATATCACGTGTAATTGCTCTGGGCAACTATCGAGGTGTTTTGATATTTTTAAAGGGTTATTTAAAGGGCAATTTTGTTCATTTATCACCCTTGAACATTACTGATTGTGTAATTATATAGTTTTGAAAAGGTTTTTATTCTGTCTCTTATACACATCTATATATAAATAGCGCCCTCTATACATCAAAATATTGTTTGAATTATCAATATGAAAGAAGGTCCTATAATTTGGAGGTGTTGGCAGTGTTTGTGTTTGAGCTTCTCAACCATGAGTTTAGGGGTTTGCACCTCATGCTGCCAATTTTTCCTGCATTTTTGACTTCGAAGAAATATAAACCAAAAGTACAATACACCGAATTAGTCATCAAGATTTGGCCGATTGGGTATTAAAAGTTATATGCATGCATTGCGTGGAGTCAAAAGTGGTGTCTATTAAATTGTCTAAAATGTAATGAAGTTAGCATACTTTCATAACAATGTATACATTTTGAAGGATTCATACATTCACGAGATTAAGGTTGATTTGATTTCCATTTGGAGTAAATATATGAACAAATTTAAGAGGTTATAGGGGGCCTAGGCCCGTTGCTCGCGGGACTCGCTACATTCAGTGCTAAGGTGAGTGATGTTGATTAAGAAGTACATATTCAGCTTAAATACTGTCACCAAGTCATTTTGTTGCAATTTATAAATGAAATATTTAAACTAATGGACAAACTTAAATTGCTGAATTGTAGAATAAGATGTTTCTTTGACTACGATGGATGAGTCAAATGAACGTTGTTTGTAAGACTCTAGTCTAGGGCTATGGCTGTGTTCACGCGACGAGGGTATGCAAAAATGTTAGGTTTTCTATTTGCTTCTTTCACTCCATTTCAAATCTAACAGGTCAATACTGTGACGTTTATTAAAGGAATGTTTACCAAGGCTTTTCGATAAGTTATTTTACGATAAAATGTACAAGTACGTGTAAATAAATTTGACAAGTTAAACTGTCAAAATTTACTTGAGCTGAGGATTATTATTGTGTGAAAAAAACTGCCACCTAGCAGTTTGTTATGATGTTATACCTCACAGCTTTGGTTTGGCGACTAATTTGGTCTATTGGTTGTATGTTGTAGATCTACTGTCAATGCAGAAAAGTTCATGTATGGTTGGAAATACATTCAGGATGTGGAGAAGACAAATATTTTGTGTATGCTCCTCTAAGTTTCAAATAACGAGGGTAATGCGGTGAAGCACTTTGCAACCTTATGTAAAAACGTCAAACATGTGATTAACTAATGAATACGAGTTACCTTATTGTCGAGTAGGAAAGCTAACTTACAACATTGCAAACAACAGAGTCAAGAATCAGCCTACATGTTGGTAATATGAGGAAGTGGAAAATATTTGTTTGAATTTAGAGTACAAAATGGGTTGCATAAATTATCTATTGCATTTGTGTAATTACAAAAATGTAGTACAGAAAAGGCCAGTAGAAAAAGCAATTGGTTGATAATTTACAAAGTACTACATTTTAACAGTATCTTTTATATTGCCTTATTAATCACCTATGTTATCTTATTTAAATAAATTTAGCTCAATGTTGAGTTTAAAAGGTAACTTACAATATTAAAAACAAGTCAAGAATTAGCCTACATGCTGGTAATATGTAAAAGGTGAAAATATCTGCCTAAATTTAGAGTATAAAATGGGTTGTATAAATTACTAAATAAAAAAAAATTTATTCAGGTATAAAAGAAAATATACAAATGGTAGCCAAAGGCTGAAATGAATATATTTACAAAAATAGAATATATTAAAAAATGCAAGAATATTAAAAATACGGGAAAGGCCAGTAGGTCTGCTTTAATTAAATTCTCATTGGTTGATCTTTTACATACTATTTAATTATACATCTAAATTATCTTATTTAATTAATCTAAATAGGAAATAATTAAACAAATAAATCTATAACTTTAAAATAAAGAAATAAAATAACAATATTGAAGAATGTGTTTTATAAACATCAATTACATAACACTAATAATAATAACAAATATAATAACAATAAATAAAAAAATATATTTATAAATCTAAATAGTGTGGGAAATGATGATTGGAATTCAGTTGTGATACTAAATTGAAAAGTGAAATCCAAAATGTAAACTGAAGTTAAACAGCAAGAAAAAAAAAGATAAGTCGGAGCTTTCAAATGTTGCATTAGTCCATTGTCAACAATAATGATATACCGTAATATCACGTGTAATTGCTCTGGGCAACTATCGAGGTGTTTTGATATTTTTAAAGGGTTATTTAAAGGGCAATTTTGTTCATTTATCACCCTTGAACATTACTGATTGTGTAATTATATAGTTTTGAAAAGGTTTTTATTTTATAAGTACACCATGTTGGCGAGATTGAAAGGTAACTTACAACATTACAAACAACAGAATCAAGAATTAGCCTACATTCTGGTAATATAAAGGTGAAAATATTAATCCAAATTTAGAGTATAAAATGGGTTGTAGGTCTGCTTCAATTAAATTCTCATTGGTTGATAGCAATATCTTATATATATATTATATTATTTAATTATTCATCTAAATTATCGCATTTAAATTAATTTAAAATAGTAAATAATTAAACAAACTAATACATAAATAACTTAATAAATAACAAAGTATAATACATTCTCCAAGTATTGAAATGCATGCCACCGTGTCAGGATTAGAATTCCAGACATGATGGTGTGCATTTCGATACTTGGAGTATGCACTATACTATCTTATCTGAGAATCATTAGTGGACCATTCGGTTTTCAATAAATAACATTAATAAAAATAATAATTATAATAACAAAAAAAAATTTAAAAATATCAATAGTGTACAGAAAACGATTGTTGGAATTCAGATAATACAAAATTGAAAAGCAAAATCCAAAATGATAATTGAAGTTAAACAACGAAGAAACAAAGAGGGGCTCCAAACAACGCAAGTCCTTTGTCAACGGTAACGATATACTGTAATACCACGTGCACTGCTGTGGGCGACTGTCAGGGGGATTTGATAGGGATATTTAAAGGGCAATTTTGTTCATTAATCAACAACGAACATTATTGATTGAGTAATTATACTATAGTTTTGAAAAGATTTTTTTGTTTTTGTTTTACTGAGTATAGAGTTCATAAACAGTGTCCTGAAAAAACTCAAATATTGATGAACATCAATTTATTAACTATCAGTATCATAAAATACCAGAAATTACATACAATAATAATAATAATAATAATTACCTATGTCTTATAATATTAATTTGAGTATGTCTAGGCCCACTCCATAGGGAGTGGCAAGATTGTGCATTCAGCATGAATAACACTAGCGAGCTTTCGATTGCACGAGGACGGTAGAACGTAATGACGTCAGCAAAAGTCATCTGCGCATGCGAGAACATTAAGGTCACCTCGTCGAGTAGATTCTGGAACGCAATTTGGCCAGATCTACGTATGCAGAGAACGGAGGATGCCAGGTAGGACGGTCACACATGAGTGATTCCGTTGTAGCGTCGCGTCGTCGCACAAATCAAAAACCCCCTCATGTACAAATGCTTGTCAATACAGATCAATGACCAGGAGTAATAACACTATAAGAACATGTCTTCGTTCATTCATAACCTGATCCCTGATCCACTCATCCATCAAAAATTAATTTATTCCTATCAGACTGTAAATTCTGAAGACGTTCGGTACAGAACTAAAAAAAAATATTATTATTATTATTACTATTACTAGTATATATTATAAGGTATTTGTCGGACTTAAAATTTATTGTAAATTAATTTTAAATAATGAGACACATTAATTTGCCTTATATTTGATGTAGCCCTTTGTTCCCATGAGTTTCATTTAGCAGACATGTTGGTAGCCACCTTGGATTTCTGAAGCAAAATCTATAATTGGTGTTAATTTGTACACAAGACAAATGAGACCCATTCTAGCAGAAACAGGGTCTTGTCTCAAAAATATATTCTTGAGGTCAAAAACTAATAATTGATGCAAAAATTGTTTAAAATGGAAAAAAAATATAAAGAGTCAGTCACAAATTACACCTATTTTTCAGTGTAATATTGGCACGAGAAAATCACTGAAAAGTTTTCTTTCATGCCTATATATATATATCTATTTAGTTTAAAAACTATTGAATTCTGTTATATTGAAATGAAAACTACATTTGTATTTCATATGGACCAGCAAGGTTTTTTATTAAACTTTAGATGTCTATGGTTGCATTATAGCCAATGACATGGGAAGCAATAAAGGATGTTTACATTTTAATCATTCATAACAGGATAAAGATCAAGCACATAACTAATTGCATGCATATGGCCTGAGTCTCTTTAATATTAAGATGGAACACTGTAAATGATTCACTGACAGTCAAAAGGATTGCATCACACGATGTCTAAAAGGTTAAATTCCCTTTCATGGATATATTTCAAGATCATGGAATGACGTGATGAAAGCATGGGTATTGAATCCTGCACTTAAAGAGATACAAAGTAAACCACAATTAAAACGTAATGGTTAAAAAAAGAAAATAAAAAGTCCTTTCTTTTGCATCATAAACACCGTTCTTCTTGCTTAAAAAAAAAAATCAAAAATACATTTTAAAAAAAAAGAGAAAAAATCCAGGGAGCACAGGACCCCTTCAAGAAATCCTCAACCCCCTTCCATCTGGGAAGAATCCATTTAGTTTGTCAGGGAACTCTGCTGGAAAAAAAAACATTTTTATAATCTGAGAATTTGTGGCTTGTTTATTCTTAACATTTTGCTACAAAAAAGGTGAGGATGAGGTGAATTCGGACCCTTGGTGGGCAATCCTGACCTCTCATCAGGAAACCTGGGTCCCTTGCATGGGAATATCTAGCGCTGCAATGTAGCATTTTTATGAGCATGTTATTTTGTTTGGAAAAATTAATGAAATTATATTTGACTAGTGTAATTTATACTTCTCTACACCTGATGAAGCCAGCATAGACTGCTGTCGAAAGCTTGTGTAATAAATACCCGTAAATGAAGTTAGTCTACAAAATGCTGCCAGTGTTCATATTTTATAATTCTTGAAATTGTCATCAACTCATCAATTATATTTTATTCTGGGAAATGTATTTAATTCCAAAAAAAAAATAAAAATTGCCACCTCCCTTTTTGCATATCTGCCTTTTTTGATTATATAATTGAAATCATTTTTTTACTATTTTTTTTTTATTAGGAATTCTTAGTATGTATCTACTATATTATGTTACAGTGGTTGCAGACGTATTTGTGATGAATTGCATTGATGCTGACGCAAGCCTCTCGGCCATTTGGAGTTGAATAAAGTGAAAATGAACTCATTATTCCTTATGATCTTGATAAAAGAAATGACAACGCAAGAGCGCATCATCATTATTAAAGCGGATAAATTAATTATGCTTGGAATAGCACACAACTTTAAGATAAAAAAGTATATAATGATGGAACGCAGTACATGCCTAACTGACATTTGAATAAATTGCATCATAGAACATTTAAAGGTTAAAATCCTAGTCAAAGTATAAAGTGATTATCGGCAATACGTCCTGTCATTTAAGAGATACAGTACGGTCTGTGATGAGTTAAAAACAAAATTCAATTAGCAGGTTATTAGATTTCGGTTAAAAATCAGAATGGGAAAATATTTCACTCGTCAGCAATGCATATATGGCAGGCAATCTAAACAAGTCACTCCTTGCCAAAAAAAAAAACCCCAAAAAAACCCCAGTTTTTAGTTGTTAATACTGGGTAAAAACAGTAAAATTAAAGTTATAAAATAGTAAAAGAATCATTCAAATGACATTTCGTTATGAGGTTTAAACATACAGCTGTTCAAGAACAGTATTTGAAGATTCATAGTTTACGACTTAGACATTTCTGAGGCAGAGACCATCATCAAATTGTTAAAAAAAATGCTGTTTTTAATGTCGAAAATAGGAATAACAAAAAAATAGCATGATAGATATATAAAGGTTAGTTTAGTGCAATAAAATAGATTTTAAAAATGTTGACATTCCAACATATTTTGGCCATTATCTCTGAAACATGATTTGCAAGAAGTGTCTGGTTTGGCTTGTCTCTACCACATGTACATTCACATTTTGTAGTGAAATATCATAAGAAATCACCAAAAATGTATTGTGCCACATTGGAACTTTTGAAATGAGCAAATCAAATTTAATGTTTTAAATAATTTTTAAAAATGTACTATCAGTCAAAAGGAAAGTACCTGAATAATTCAAATAAAATTTTTAAAGCTCATTTGAAAGTCCTGATTAAATAAATCATTAGCATTCAAGGACACAAAAAAAAAGAAGTAGTTTTCCACAATTTTAAGGTTACAGTAATAACTTACTTTAATTAAGCAATTCAAATTTTCAATTTTTCTTTTACCTCAAGACTGATAGTATATCAAAATTACACCAAATTATATCTTCAATAAATATATAACACAAACTAGATGGACATTGTACGTGACTGTGTTGACAGCTGGAAAAAAAGGATCATATTATGTCTACAGGTTATTGTCCATTTCATGGTATCAAGCGATAATCACCAGTTCATCCTGTCATTAAAAAGATGCATACTTGAAAAAAAATTGTGTCATTCTCATCAGAAATTACCAATTAGAGACGAAATGAACTCTGTGACGTTGTGCAACACAAGTCTCCCAAGGCAAAATGTTTTTTTTATGCCTAGATAATGTGAACTATATTTTTGAAGAATTGTAAAAGAGAGCGGGAAAGAAAAATTTATTTCTCCTTTACAAAATTTGAATGGTTTCGCCAAAATCATCAAGGTGGAGAAGAAAATATAAATAACCATATTATTGATGAATAAAATAATGCAGGTTAAGAGGTAATAATGTAATAAAGGGCATTCTTAGATTCAGTAATCAGACTGACAAATGCTTTATTTAACTGTAAGGCGAGGCTTTTTTTTATCTTAAAGATCGTCTGACGGGGTGGGGGCGGCAAAAAAAAAATAAATATAAAATTTTGTTTTTTAATTTCAGATTTTAGCACATGGTTTGGCCAAAAACATCCAGATGGAGGAGAAAATACAATTAAAATTTTATTGTTGAATGTAGTAGTAATGTGATGGTAAAATGCTTTAATTTTATATAATTTATATAATAAATATACCTATCTTATTTTTGGAGATTTCAAGGCAATGATGGGTGTAATTAAAATAAATAAAAAAAACTCTAATTTACATTTTTCTCACAGAAGCAGGTGCACTAATTGGACAAAAATAAAATTGTATTTATATTAAAAATCATCATGATTGGCAACAAGATAAAAAAAAAATAAAAGGAAATAAGAACAAGCATTTATTTAACTGTCAGAAAATAATATAAAGATTTATTTGGGAGAATTCATGGCAGCAGCTGACATGAAAACAATTTAAAAACATATTTTTTTTCACCTGAAATTTATAATTTGTCAAAGGCAGGTGCAGGTCAGCATCAGCAGGTGGGGCATTTGCGAAACAAAGTATAAAAAAGGTTCGCATCATAAATACTAAAACTCAAATAGTTGAATAACATTGTTTATTTGTATATATATATATATATATATATATATATATATATATATGCATGCATATACATACGTATCTTGTCGCTAAAAATTTAAGATGAGGGTATATCACATTGATCTCTGTTATCTGCAATGCATCTAAAATAGTGTTATTCCAAGCATGCACAAGAGGATGAAAAGTTAGTTGCTTCTAATCAGATTTGAACTCCCAATGCAGCCCGGATGGCCAGCATGGTTGATCAAGGTGTCTGCATTAATACCAGAAAGTTGCAGGTGCGAATCAAGGTTTGGTCAACATTTTGCTGACACACCCCCTCCATGGCTGCAAAATTAGTTCCAATAAGGGGAAAAATATTAAAATTGCCATTAAGTTTTTATTGGAGTAGGGATTTAGTTACGCATTCTGGAATTTAGTTCCATATTAAATGATTTTCGCACTCCCCCAACACCATAGGCAGAAATTAGCTTACACTTACACCTCTGACAATGTTTAAATAAACAAAGTAAAGTATTTCAAATACTGCACACTACAATCAGGAAATTATCTGTTTGTGTGGGGGTGTTTGCTTATGTGTGGGTGATGGAGTTTCAGCAGACTCTGAAATGAACAATTAATTTTCACTAATGACTTACAAAATGTTAAAAAGGCTACGTTTCACCTGATTTATTATCGAGTTCACCTTTATAATTTTAAAGGCACATGTAGTTAAACTCATAATAATACCATCAGTATCATTTATCTAAAGTAAAAATGACATCAAATGGAAAAGCAAATTCAAATAATGACAAAAACTAATTTTTAAAAATGCAATCCACCCACCCCTCCACCACTATTTCTAAAAGCCTTCAGAAAGAAGTTTTTCTATTTTATTACTTTGAGTATTAAGTATGTAAAACTATTTTACTCAGATAGGGTAGAGTAATATTCATCGAAAATTTAATATGTAAAGTGCATGAAGGTAGTTATCATCTCTCCCCATAAATGCTGATAGTTGTAAATGACCTCTTAATTGTTTTATGTAACATTATATATTTGTCTGCATACAGCCTTGAAAATACTGTACAATGCCTACTGAAATTTCCCTCGCTATAAATAAAAAAATATATATTATACAATCTGCATAGACAGTAGGAGGTCAAGGTTTGAATCTTGGTTGGGTCAATTTCTTTCACACTTACAGATTCTCTTCTTTACCCGATTACAATTTATAAAAGCATTTACCACAAGACAATTTAGAGTTTATCTCTTCATGTGCAACATTCATTATATACATGTAAAAGTAGATATGAATCGAATAATAATTAAATCAGTGAATGTGTGTTGGGTTTTCATGTGTGTGTACATTTATTTATATGACATGCAGAATTGTATAAAAACTTCATTAAAACAAAATTGCATACTTTCTTAAAACCAAGTTCCATTGCTGACTCTCCAGTAAATCTAAACTTGGCCTTGGCCTTTCCTTCAAACGTGGGTGATGAGATTTGAGCCGTGCGAGCTTCTTCCAAAGTAGTGATAATCTAGAGGCAGAGGAAGACATCAGTAAGTGCTCAATGTTGTTTGATACTTTCATTCTATGTGACAAATACCTGTGATTTGTGTGGTATGACATCAACATGCCCAAATATAGGCATATCCTAGATATTCGTCATACGGTACAAACAAGAATTGTGCTAATGGAGTAACCCATCTAAGATTTTTATGTTAATAATAACGTTCCAGTTTGGTGCACAAAACTTTTTTTTGTAAAACCATAAAAATGTTTTACAACATCATTTCTGACTACGTTACGACAACGTTGTGTTAACCTTATCTTCTGACACAACATTCACAAATGTCATAATAATGTTTTGTGTTTTGGTAGAATTATTAATATTCTCATCAGACACTTTCAGATGAAAGTCATACTTCTTAAGTGTATTGAAAATTCATTTTAAGTCTCATTATTATTATGAGAGGAAGGCGAGTTATTTGGACAGCTAGGGAGTGGGGTTGCTTTTAGACAGCTAGGGAGTATTAATATCTGTTTGTAAACCTTATGGGTATAATTTTCAGTGACCGAACCTAGTACTTTGTGACTGAAAGGTAGGCTCTCTTACAACAAACCTATGAATCTATTGCTATCATTCAAAAATTAAAAAAAAAAATTATTATTAAAATTAGTGTGAAACTGAATTGTATTCTATTTGCATGCAACAACAATGAACCATTCTGCATCAACAATGAACCATTCCATTGAGTCCCACTCCTTGGATACCTTTGTAAGGTCTTCTCAGTCAACGCAAACAGTGTTGTACAAGGCAGCACAATACGATTTATTGTCAGAAGCCCTCTTTAGGAGCAGTCTTCAACAAATCACATTGGGCTACATCGTACATTCTGAGTTGGCCTTTACAAATTGACAGTGTACACATAAGAAAAATGTTTATTTGTGTGACAATATATGTTTGTGTGACAATGTGTGTTTGTATGACAATGTGTGTATGTGTGTTTGTGTGACAATGTGTGTATGTGTGACAGTATGTGTGTTTGTGTGACAATGTGTGACAATGTGTGTTTGTGTGACAATGTGTGTATGTGTGACAGTATGTGTGTATGTGTGACAGTATGTGTGTTTGTGTGACAATGTGTGTTTGTATGACAATGTGTGTTTGTGTGACAATGTGTGTATGTGTGACAGTATGTGTGTTTGTGTGACAGTATGTGTGTTTGTGTTATAATTTTGTATGACAATGTGTATTTGTGTGACAATACAGTGTGTTTGTGACAATGTGTGTTTGTGTGACAATTTGTTTGTGTGACAATGTGTGTTTGTGTGACAATGTGTGTTTGCATGACAATATGTGTTTGTGTGACAATGTGTGTCTGTGTAACAATGTGTGTCTGTGACAATATGTGTGTTTGTGTGACAATATGCGTGTTTATGTAACAATGTGTGTGTTTGTGTAACAATGTGTGTTTGAGGGACAATGTGTGTTTGTGGGACAATTATGTGTGTGTGTGTGGAAATAAGCAGTGATTTCCTGGCCCTGTTCTTTATACGTTTGATTGACACTAGTCCATAAAGCTCCTTTGGCTTTCTTACCTCTACATAGCTAACAGGGAATATGCCCACTCGTCCATACTGCTCGCCCTCATACCAATTGTTGTCGATCTTTCTCGTTAAGATTATGGTGTCACCCTTGTTGAATGATAACTCCCTGTAATAGAAAAAAAATAATTAAATAATATAACTTTAGTTAGATGAGATTTTTATACCATGTAGTAAACTAAAATTTTGTTTTGGAAAAATATAAAATATAATTTTGCTTTTTCATTTAGTGACAAGGATTTGAATCCCAAGACCCTTAGATTACAATTATCATTATCACCACGCCATAGCTCCACTCTGTCTTCCTTTCTAGAAGACGACATCTAATACCAGTTTCATTAACAACCAGCAGTAAATTACAAAATACAAGAAGATATTGATGTTTTATCCCATTAGCCTCAGCTTCGAAAACCATTAGCAGGTACAAAAAAAATATTTATTTTATTCATGCTCGGAAGAATTGGAAATGAGTTCATTCAATCTTGACATTTACGAAATTGGACACAAAAACAGATGAACCACATTTAACAGGTGTGCCCCGTGATCAATTAATATAAGTATATACATGCTACTGTCTTCATCGAAGGTTTACATGGCAACACAACAATCAATAAATAGAAGTACACCTTTCGATAAGATGATTAAAATTGTCGTTGATTCTGAAAAGAATCATTGGATTGTACAAAATACTTGGCCTTATGAAAAAACAGGAGACTAGCTTTTTTTAAAGTCATTTCATTTCATTTATTTCGCCAAATAAATATAAATATATAAAATATACAAATATAAAATTTCAAAAATAGTAATTGTTGTCATGTGGCAGGCAGGATTGCCCAAAAGTAGAAGATCTACTGTCGAGGGGCTCTCCTCATGACAACAAAAATACAATATCGCAATTCTATATACATAATTTAAAAAAATATTATAAACATTAAAATGCAGTACGGTATTCAGTCTGATATGAAATCTGCATATTTTAATCAGTGGCGGATCCAGGAATTCAAATTGTGGGGGTGTGGGGGGGGTCAGACAGGAACTTACAAATCGAGCATCCGGACAACCTCAGCCCCACCATAGTAAATTTCATGCATATGGCACCTCTAGATCACTGGGAATGACCTCTCTCAGTCATAAATTTGAATGTAATTTTTTTTTTTTACAAATAAGGGGGAGGGGAATCCACTAACCGCCCCTACCCCTCTGAATTTGCCCCTGTAGATATTTTTTATCCTACTAACTTTGGAGACTGTGCTGTAAAACTGTAGAGAGCTATTGCATGTGCCTTCAGCTGTAAGGAAAAAAAAAAGACAAGAAATAATTAGACAACAGAGAAATGTTGTTTCCAAATTAGTAATTAATAAGCTATCATCCATCTTTGGTAATTGTGGTTTCATTTATAGTTTAAGAGAACATAATTAAATCATAAATGGCGACTGGAGAGACAATGTGTTTTGCACTGTTATAGCATCCTCTCTAGTGCCACATATGCTATATATGGGTGTTACGTACAACAGCACTTTTATTTTCTCCACAATGATGTAGCCCTGTAGGCTCAAAATCGTAACATTAAATAATCTACTTTATTTTCAAACGGTAAGCTCAATCACCCACAAAGTTGGGCAACCTTTTGACTGTGAGCAATACGCAATCAAGAATTTATATACAGCAATAAAAGCAATTTAACTTGATTAAACTGAACTTTACACTTAAAATCAGAAATACAGATGATGAATCTGTGAAATTTGAAATTTCCTAACATAATAATGTTTGAAAGAGTTTCTGTTTAACAGTAGCAGCCCATATTCAATCTCTTTTAATCATTAAGTAATCCATTCATCTGTCCTTCAATTATTTCCATATATAATACACAGAAATTGTTCTAACACGTGATATACATACAAACAACGTAAACACGAAACAAGAATGTTATTTAATAATGCTTAATAATATATATGATACTCAATAAATTATAATTATAATCTGCAAGAAATTCTGGATTTTATGTTGAAATTTACTTATTATAAATTGTTACCTGGAAAAGAACCAGGAAGACTGAAGGTATAATTTTTTTCTATTAAATATACAAAATTTAATTAATGAAATAAATACAATTTATCTTCCTTAGTAATAACCTAGACTCGATTATATTTACAGACTGTAAAAGTACATCGATAACAAATTAGGCTTGAACCTAATTTGGCAAATGAAACTAAATTAGTGCAATACCAACATTGCTTATTTAAGGACAATCAAAAATCGAATTATCTTAATGGAATTTTCTACACAAACCTCAATGACCGAGGATCAAACCAGACTATTTGTCTCCCAAACAAAAAACAGAAGTGAGAATATGCAATGTAGAAAAGTAATCACAGGGTGTTCTTATGCTATATTGCTCATGGTCACATCAGGGGTTCCAAGTTGTTAGAATTCATTTCCGGGAGATCTCTTTAAATGAGCTTTCCTATTTTTATTTACTCTTGGTGACCCATCGACACTGGCTTATGTGAGAGAAATGATAATAATTGGAACAGTTTGAAAAACATGCGGATTTATTAATCTGCAGGAAGTGGGTTATTTTCCGGGCGATTCCTGCTTGTTTGCGGGAGTGCGGCAGGCCATCCAGATTTCCCGGAGACTTCCGGAAATTGCGGGAGACTTAGGACCCATGAATACCATGTGGCCATATAAATATTATTTATTAATGTGATGTATTATTTATATGGCGATTAATTGCGATGTATTATTTATGGTATGACCATATAAATAATGCGATGTAAATAAATAGTCCTGTAATAGGTAATGCCTTATATGCGACGTTTTTCCACAAAACTGTTGCAAAGAATCAAAAACACAATTTCTTTTATACAAATTATACTTTATAATTAATTAGCTTCAGACTTATTATGATTATTAGTTAATTAATTAAACATGAGCAATTATCCGGCACTACTGAGAAAAACAGCTTTAGTGCGTCTATACAAGCCACAAAGTTTACGCAAGAATGAAAAACAGTCAACTTACAAAATGTTAATTGGCGTCTTTATCCAAATTCCATGGGAATATGTCACATTTTTATTTAATTGCAGAGAAGAAATGCAAGATTAAATTTTTTAGAGATTTGGGCATGATAAAAACGGGCATGATAAGACTTAACGAAAAATAATTTTTTTTCCCAGAAATTTCCAATTTTTCCCTACAGAAATGGATCAGGCAAAAAGTAAATTTTTGCTTTATTCAAAATCATCACAAAACAAGGGCATGATAAATACTTGCTTATATATAATATAAACCCCATGCCAATTTATAATTCTACAGTTTTAAATCTTCATCTGCCTCCTAATGCAACTATCTATATTTTCCTTTCTCGTAAAGCCCTGCCAGGGTTTGTTTTATTTATAGTCAATAGTATTTTTGCTTGGTATTTACAGTTTGAATTGCACTTTCACTGACTTTTAAATACGTTTTATGGATTCTTTAAACAAATTACCAAGATGGTGGATATCACCTGTAAAAATGTTGAAGTTTTTAGGAATTGACCTTTCATCCTATTATTCACTTTGATATTAATAATAATAATAATAATAATTATAACAATAATAATAATAATAATAATAATAATAATAATAATTATAACAATTATAATACAGGCTTTAAGGTTATTTTTAATCAAGTAATTAAGGTGAAGATGTACTGTACTTAAAGAACGTTTCGAGAGCTGTCAGGTCTCATTCTCAACATTTCATTACTTCCGGCTAGCAGAGGAATGTATTAATAATGGCAATAATTATTATTAACAACTATAACAATAAAAATTCTGTAATAATAATAAAAAACAATAACAACAATATTATCTGTTTTTTTCATGTTTATGTAAGCACACAGAAGTCTCCACAATATGCACCTGTCTCTTATACACATCTTGATACCAAGTAATAATAATATAATAATAATAGTAATAATAACAATGATAAAACAATAATATCAATAACTATATCATAGCAATTCTAAGTCAGTCATTTAATGTGCACAAGGTGGCACTTCAAATTGGTGGAACTGAAATGACAGGCAGAGAAATTTGTTGTGTAGCGCAAGCAAAGGGCGTGGCCCCTGGTGGGGTAGGGTTTGGAAGGGATGTCGCCTTTTGACCTAGCAAAAACATCACATAATAACCTTATGATGTGGTTCTCATGATGATTTTAAATTGCTGCTTTAATTTTCCTTTTGAATGAATTGATAGAGTAATTTTGTTTTCTAATTCATGTTATAGCCAGACATTTTTAACTGCAATATGTGATTTTACAAATGTATCACATTTGATTCCATTAAAAACTCTACTTTTTCTTTTTCTCTCCAAATTAAAGTCAAAGAAGCAATTAAAATCAAAAAGCACCACGACTGAACCACGACACACATACAATAACGTATTTATCATGTGATAACTAGCACAAACATTGCTAATCATATGTGACAAAGTGTTAAACATCACTTCAAGGCTGATGAATGTATCGCGAAGATAATTAAAGCTTCTGATGTGAAATATCGAAACACTAAAAGCTAATAATTATTTCACTAGGAAAAAATAATACTAATAATAATAATGCTAATAAACAAGTTCGCAGAAATCCCTTCCAAAGGGATATGGTTGAATGAACTTCCTTAACATATTTTATTTTATTTTGCTGGCAGGCCTGACTTTCGTAAGACAATTGATAATTAAGTAGCGAAAACATGCAAATATTTTGAATTTTTGGAAGATTGGTTAAGTTCTGGGAGATTCTTTCTTCCTTTACAGGAGTGAGGCTGTCCTAATTTTCGGGAGACTCCAGCGAAACAATCATTATATCAATAACCAAAATAATAAGAAAACTAATAAATATATAATATAATAATATATATAAATTCACATTTGTAAAATCTGCATGCGATTTAATTAAATTAAACATCAATGGTAATAAATATACATTTTAAAGATGTAATTATTGTATATATATATAGTTTCATGGGTAGCTAGCTAATTGAATGTTTATTTAATTAACTTTATATAATAATTTATTCACAATTAATGATTAATTATTGATAACTTATGATTGGTGTTTGATTGATAGGAACAATTTCGATTAAATAGATATTATAAATGTTTATAAAGGATATTGCAATATTTGAACGATTTAATCAAAATACATCAGTCAAAAAACTAATGTTGTCATAACAATACCTCATGCATAAAAATAATGCAAATTCCATTCCTGACTTTATTAATTTTTCTATAATTCATTATAAATCTTCGAAACAACAGTAATTGTAAATCCAGGGGCGCAGAGAGAGGGGGGTCGGGGTCCTGACTCCCCCACCCCCTCAAATTCTAAAAAAATATTTTAAAAAATTAGCAGTACATGATCGACAAATACTCTTTTAAATCTACAACAGAATTTACACCAAAGGATTGTAGATTAGTTATGAGGTTTGAAAAAGAATTTATTTCAGGGTTGTCACTGAAATACAAAATTGAATAAGAGTATTTGAGGGTTCTTATACAGAATTAAAGAAGTATATTTTTTAGGGTTGTTACTGTTAAATACTGAATAAAAACACCTAAAAAGCCCTGCCCCTGAACACCGCCAAAGATCTGGCTAGGCGGCCCCCAGCCAATTTATCTTGTCTCACTTCAATTCCACCCCTGCTGCGCAGCTTAAATCGTAGCTTTACAAAATAATGGAAACAATTAATAACAACAATAATATCGATGATTAATGGTTGATAATTTTATGATTGATGTTTGATTACTAGGAAAATTGTGATCAAATAAATGTTATAATGTTTATATAAAGGAAAGGTTATAAACATCAAGGTTACTTGAAAAGACTTTAATCAAAATAAATCGGTCACGACAGACTCAACTGACTCATGGAAATTTCAGTACACAAACACAAGAGAAAATGCTAATAATGTTATAATAACAATTCCTAGTGCATACATTAAAATAAGTTGTAATAAAAATTGCATTCTGACCAGGCTTTATCCATCCATTTTTCTACTTCATTATAAAATCTCCAAACCAACAGTGATTGCAGATTCTATAGCTTTACCAATAATGAAGATGTGTCAATAATAATGATAATAATAATTAAGATAATATTAATAATGGCAATAATTATTATTAACAACTATAACAATAAAAATTCTGTAATAATAATAAAAAACAATAACAACAATATTATCTGTTTTTTTCATGTTTATGTAAGCACACAGAAGTCTCCACAATATGCACTCTATAAGTTCACCATTATTATTATTATAAACAATAACAATAATACAATTAATAATAAAAACAATAACAATAATACAATTAATAATAAAAACAAAATGAATAATAAACATAATTATTAAAAAAAAAATAAAAGTAACAGTAAATAAACATAATATAAGAATTTAGAAATCATATAACCACAAATCCTATATACTCAGTTCACATTTTCTAGGGGAAATCTAAAACGTTGCTGTAGAGGCCAGTGAACGTGTTTTATAGATTAACACACCGGTATAAATTTCAGGATTAATTGCCAATGAATAAAATAATCCACTACCACTTTAAAGATAAACTGTCTAGTAGTATAAAAACCTGGTAAAACCCTTAAATATTCAATCAAAATATTGAATTCCAAATTCCTAATCATCAATTTTGAATTATGCATCAAAATGCTAATTTTCACTAATTCATTTTCACATTTTTCACTAAAAAGGATCTTAAATTAACAGCCAAGTTAAAGGTATATGCACAACATATAGAAAATGTAAAATATAATTAATCTGAGAAAAGGCATTTTATTTAATCTCATTCCAACTACGGTATTAATATTAGAAACCTATAGAGCCTGCATTTTCTATAACAGCTCTATGCTTCAATATACAAAGTAGACAACTATTGTTTTTATACACAAATTTGAGCAGCATTTTAACATAAAATATAATTTCATAGTCACTAAAGTTGGGGAGATATCTTTTGAGGAAGATGAAATTTAATGAGTTTTCTTAAGCACATCTTATTACGATTTGCTATATGCATTGATACCCATGTGGATGTTTAGGGAGAAATAAAATACAGTAGTAAAAATCATGCATGCATTGTGAAATTACAAGAGATAATTTAGTACATGGAAGGATTTTGTTTGCTAGGAATGTGAGAGAACATACAGATTTCTTGGCGGAGGGTCCTGTAGCTAGCGGGAGAGCTTGGACCCTGTAACTGTACCACGTGCAACATTCCTCTGCACCCGCAATGTGTGTGGGGGGGGGGAAGGGAGGGGAAAGGGAGGAGAATGTTTCTAGTTGTACTAATATATCACAGAACGAATATTGCAAATCCTTCATATCATACAAAATGCCCATTTATACTCCTGTGTCAGGACGGAGACAGATAAAGTTTAAACTTGTCAAAAGCAAGAAAATGTTATTATCGAACTTGAACACATCTTATTAATGGAAGTGCAACGACTTACCACTGCCCCGCCCCATTCCCAAAAATAGCAAAAATTAAGTATAATAAAAATTAAAATTTCAAATAACATTTATTACAAAAACTAGAAGTAATAATAAAAGGAAAAAAAATTATAATAATAATTCAGCCACTAAACTTTAATTAAATTTTAATTTATTAATTATACATGTACCTCTTGAGATGGTGATCTGACGTGCTGCTGCTTCGATCCTCCGAACCTTTCGTCCGTGATAATTGGTGACTTGATGGCAGTGTTGTCGGAGTGACGTCGTGATTTTTGATTCTCGTAATCTTGTCGGGCTCGCTTTTGTCTCTCTTCCTCAATAACACGCTGAAGTGAGAGTTAAATAAGTTCAACAATAAAGATTAATTATCAGATATTTTCTGTGACAAATTTGTGTGATGTACCCATATACAGTATGAGCATGAAGTCATATTAACACCAAAATATGGGCATATCACATTTTTTGTCACAAGTTTTATGTGACAAGTTGTGTAATTTATCATATATGGGCACGATGATGTCATATCACATCCATATATGGGCATAATAATGTCATACAACATCCATATATACTGTATGCAAGATGATGTAATATCACATCCATATGAGCATAATGTCATATCACATTCAAATATGGGCAAAATGATGTCATATCACATCCATATATGACAAATATGTCACAATACCCACTATAATATGGGCGAATCACATGCATTTTATTGATGTGATACTGTGGATAGACCTTTAGGTAAGATTTTATGTACTGCATATCAAAAATTAAATTTTCATTCCATCAATGATTTATTTATTCTTTCTTTGCCATAGAGTAGAACAAATTCTGTTATTCTCAATAAATTACACAAATTAAACAGGGAATTAAATGGACTGTTCAGCTAAGGCCCACCACTATTATTATTATTATTATTATTATTATTATTATTGCTGATGTACAGTACTCTCACAAAAATGACAGCCATATTGTAGAGAATATATCAGTATGGATTGTGGGATATGCGCATATTCCTCGCCCCCACCTACTTAACAACACACTCTGATAAGCCACTGTTCATTTTGATTGATATTCTGCAAAGGTTTAATGTACATCACATTAACAATGTACCAAAGCATAAACACAAAATTGTAAATATCGTAATTAATTTCTTTAAAAAAAACCATCAATATCTTCACCCTTGTCACATCCATAGATTTACTGCCCCTTCTAACACATCTACCAAAAAAAGCCCCTAAACAACCCCATACACAACCCCTTACACATGAAGTATCAACCACCTCAAGTGAACTTACCTTAACATCGACTGAGCCCTTCTTTTTAATTCATATTGATCACTTTGTACTTATGCGCATTTATCCGTATGCACATTCACATACATAATTACATGATCAATACTTTGCACAGGCATTCACTAATATACACATTAAAAAATATATAGAATCAACATTCTTAAGCTCTGCCCGTGTAGTCATGATGTGCCTATATATGGTCAAGATGTGATGTCATCATGACCATATTTAGGTATTAATGTGAATTTACCTCTACTGATGATTTATCCCTTGCATTGGTCCCCTTGTAGTTCGCATTGACATCACCTCTCAATTCTGTATCATGAAAGTTAAAAAAAAATTATTAATTAATGTAAATTAAATTTATTTTTACATGTATATATTATTTTGGAAGTGGTTATTCTTACATCAGTCTTAATGCAATTTCAAAGATTACGCAAGTAAAAGCACTTTATTTGAATGCATGACAGGTTCAGGTAAAAAGCAAAAATGGGGACCTTAGTATCCCTTCAAGTGGTAGCATCAGCAGGGGAAGGGGATTTAAGTATTTTGAATCCCACCAGGGATTCACCCTTACCCCCCCTGCTCTCTATCAGTTTTTCCCCCACCCACTTCAGGAAAAATCTTGCGCCATGCACCTTTAAACTATGATTCACTCCCTTAACCCTTTCTATTAATGATAGTGTTTCATAGTGTCTGGAATAATTACAGGTTGGAGTTTATACTAAAAATAATAACGAGCTCCACAGATATTTCCAATTTCATATAATTTAAGTACGAAAGTGCATTAGCACTTTCATAAGGACAATAAACTTTGCCAGACGGTTGTAAAAATTACCACTGCCCACTGTACTTCTTGAACAGACCTAAAGTATGACTTACATCATTAGAACATAATCATTATTATGTATTAAAATAGCTGACTATGGTGCGATGGCAGATGTTTGAATTATATAGCAAAAAAACTTCTGAATGAGTGAACCTCATAAAAATGAAAGGCCACCAAAAATTTGGATGAAGAAAAGGTGTGTAGAGAATGGAAGGTGATATTACTTAAGCAGAGGCTTGTGCGAAATTCCAAAGCGTGAAATTCAGAAATGTTTCCATGAAGTGTACTGAATTTTAAACAGTCATCAACTCCACACACATATGTGAGATATGACCCTACATGATCTTGT